GCCGAGAGGGCCCGGCCTGCGGAGGGGCTCGGCGGCCGCGAACGGAGCCGCCCCCAAGCACCCGCTCACCGAACTTCTTTTTTCCTTTTTTTTTCCCCCCCACTTTTTTTTTGTTTTCCTCAGTGATAACTCGCAGGTTTTTCAGCCTTACGTGCTGCGAACTCGCCGGAACAGCACAACAGTTATGAGCCGTCACAGTATGGTAGGGAATCTCCGTCGTGGCTTTGTTTATGCCGAGCAAGGAGTAGTTAGCAGGGAGAAGTCAAGATGAACTTGATTTTCATTTGCGCAGCGCGTCCTAGCAAGCTTTCAAAATGTTGTATTTTTATTCCACCTCTGGCCACAACTTGCATACAAATAAATTTGTGGATGAGCATATGTTTGCCCCTGCACAAGGGAAGAATCACTGAAGCCACTTCAGAATCTGTGCAACGTAGCGTGCGAGCTGAGCGTTGTGTGGTGGAGAAAACTGCTGTCACAACTGAACATTGTGAATAGTTATTTTGTACTTAAGTAAAAGTGTACAAGAGGGAACCAAAGATTTCCTTGGAACACTTTTTTTTTTTTTAATAGACATTTTTTTTCTTGAAAAAAAAAAAAAAAACAATCTAGGCATCAGAGCATCACATGAAAACAATGATTTATGTTGAGTGAATCTCATGCCCCTAGTCTGTAAGTTTGTGTAGTTCTGCAGTTACTGAACTTCTCAGAAATGGTCAGTTTCTCCATTCTTCCCTTTCCTTATTGTCAGCTTAGGGACCTCTCTGCACTTTCCCGCATCATTTATTTCTTTTTCATCAAAGACTAAGCTTTSCTTCTCAAAACCTGAAGTCTGGAGAGACAGATAAGCAACATATGTTCAATTTTGTTCAGATCAAGTGGGATGGAGTTTTGGTTCCAAGTCTACTCTTCTAAAATTCTGGAAAGTTATGTTTAAGAAATATTGTAACTCAAAACAGTCCATGTTGCATAATATGTTACATTTTGAGTGGGCATGTTACATTTSTGTATGAAAGTAGCCAGAGTTAAAATGCTCTGCTATTGCTAAAGTGAAGTTTTTAAGGAATGCTGTTCACTGAGACACTGAGATTTTTCCTCTTTTCTATAAGCCAGATGGTTGAATAAATTAATACTGGAGTCTGTCATTGTCAGCTTTAGAGAGTCAAGTTGCATGATGTTCTTTTTTTGTTTCATTCATAATACTGCCTTTTCCTATTGCCATACTTAGCTATTCTTGCACTTGGGGTACTGAGCCCCAGAGTCTGAGATCTGTGCCACTTGCTGTGTGATAAAATGAACTTGTAAGCACTTGGACTAGTCTCTTGCAGATCAGTATTCTGGTGTTTGCAAGGTCATGTAGCTGTGCATGTACAGATCAGTTTTTTATTACATTCTTGGTAAATTAAAACTGAAATATAAGCCTAATGCCGACTGAAATAGCATGTGTGTGACCCAGTGTTTTTTGTGATTTAAACACGTTAGTTGTCATTTTTTTCAGTTGCTGTCATCATCTCCTATTCGCATTCCTAGTAGCCGACTTCATCAGATCAGAAGGGTAAGTGTAGTTTTTAACTATATATCTTAGTGCTCCAGTATTTATGTAAAGGATTCTATAATGAGAATGTCTTTTTTTTCTTTAAGCTCCATTTCCTTTAGTAGTTGAAGAACTCAATTCTGGCATGAAAGTGTCCTTGCAATGCATGTTTAATCTTCATTGCAGTTTTAAAGTATACTTGTTTATTAAGCAGAATTATTGAGTGGGCTGGTATCATTCTCTTCTTTCTGGAAGGCTCCTAGCATTCCTCTTGGAATTCTAAAGGCAAATTATTGAACCAGGGTGGTGTTCTAAGCACTTTGGAACCGGAGAAACTCAGAATCTCTGTCTTTTGCAGGAGGAAGGAGTGGATTTAATGAACAGGGAAACAGCACATGAAAGGTGAGTAGTAGTGGAACAAGGTGATAAAGTATCCCGAATTGTCCTCTTTGAAGCTACTGATGATATTTTTGTGTCCTAGGGAAGTGCAAACAGCAATGCAGATAAGCCAATCATGGGAGGAAAGCTTGAGCCTGGTAAGCTYTTTATAGATGTTTCATTTTTATTTCTACTTCTACACCCTAGTGTAGTGAATTTTAACGAAAAGAGAGGAAGTAACTGTGGAAATAGCTTAAGGAACTCTTAAAGCCATCTGGTTTAGCTCTTTCAGGCATTTGACCTAATAACTTTCCATCAGAAAGATGGATTAGATTCTATGGCAACATTCTGTGTCACTATTAAGTTTGAAATTTTTGTATTTACAGAGCGACAATGACTTGGACAAGTCTGAGAAATCTTCCTCCCCAAAAAGAATAGACTTCATCCCAGTTTCGCCTGCACCTTCTCCTACGAGAGGAATAGGAAAGGTAGGATATATGATAAAGCAAAAGAGTAAGTTACTGTGAAGGTACAGGAAACTTGACTTTTTTTTTTTTTTTTTTGTCATTATATTAAAAAAATATAGCTCGACCACACAAAGTTTGCATTTTCTTGGCTTTTAGCACTTAGTTGCTTGTTGCCTTTTGAGTGGTGTTTGAGAGGGTTAGGGCTCTGGGTCTAAGATGATGACTACARTAATCAGATAAGGACATAAGTTACGTAAGTTGAGGCAGTGCTGTGGAAGAAGCATCAAGATCTGAACGTACCAAATGTGGAGAGAGAAAATAGACAAAGGTGAGAAGCTGCACACCTGGATGATGACAGTGGAAATGTGCCCACCGGATAGGGAAAGCAGAGCATAAAGTTGCTGGAAAGAAAGACTGTTCAAAATTGCCCCTTTGAATTTGCACTMAAGACTGGCAGATGCTGGAAAATGCAAAGAGATGGACTTCAGATAAAGATCTGCTACTTTTTTCAGTTATTGCTGGAGAACTGAAAAATGTTGCCCAGAGAAACTGGCAACTGTGTTTGAAGAACCTGCCTCCTTGTGCTCGTTTTAATGCTCTTTTCTGGCTCTGCTGTTGTAGTGCTGCTCTCTCATTGCACGTGTGTTGGTGCACAGGGCAGCCAGTACTAATACTGGGTACTGACCCTGATATGAGTTTAACAGTGATTAGAAAATGGCATCTATTTCAACTTCTTAAATTCAAAAAACCRCATAAAAACAGGTTAATGTGAGCACTGCTTTAGCCACTTTATTTCTGTAAGTTCAGTTTTACTCTTTCTAGCGTTGTGTTTGACCATCAGCTTGTTACTAGRTTTTCTTTAATTGGGGATGTTTTGAAGGGATGGAGAGGGAACRCTAGAGTATTTAAAAGATAACGCTGAGGTCTCTTGATGTGATTTTTTGCAGCAATGTTTTTCACCATCGTTGCAAATGTTTGTGAGTAGTAATGGCTTACCTCCAAGTCCTATTCCCAGTCCAACAAGGCGATTCTCCAGGTAAGTGGCTTCTCAAAGTAACAGGAATTCATTGACTTGAATTGCAAGGCAAGCACAAAGGTTAGTTATAGGTGACGTTCAGGCATTAAACGAGATTTTACTTTATCARAGTTGAAATACTGCCATGTGAAAATGCTTTGAAAGTTCAAAGCAAGGCAAGTTCCTGTGGATGTTCTTTAATAGTCTGTGTCAACTTTAAAACAGACTTTGAGAAATTCCTGGGTGTTTCAGATAACATGCTGACAAATGTAATGAAGCTTGTATTATTATATAAACACTATATCCAGTTCAGAGATGGATTTAAGGGAGAATGTGATGTGCTATGCAGAAAACTATAGAAAGTCTACTGTGTGTTTGTACAGCAGAATCACACAGTCTCCTCTCACAGGCAACGTCCTTGTTTATCTACATGTTCAAATTCCCTCACATTCCAGTTGCATTGGAGTAGTTTTAAAGAGCATTTCATGTGATAGTTTATGCTGATTTGGTATTAAACCTCTTCAAATTTGGAACTTTACAGTCCTTACTATCAGTACTATCTCTTTAGCAGGAGGAGTCAAAGTCCAATCAACTGCATCAGGCCCAGTGTTCTTGGTCCCATTAAAAGAAAAGGTATGTGTATTCACATTATCAGATATTTCAACATAGATATGGTTTTCCAGCTAAATGTGTTCTTTTCCTTTTTTTTTTTTTTATGGTCCCTTAAATACAGAGTACTTGCATCCACAATGAACTGGAATTTGCTGATCCTATCTTCTAGATAAAACATAAAGGAACTAGTTTAAAATATAAGAATGAAAACCTTTAAAAGCAGCTGCTGCTTAAGAGGCATACTTTAATCAATTTTGAATTAAATGTTTATGAATATTTGTAAGCTGTGAAATTCTAAGAGTGTCACTGTAGGGTGCACACCCTTCAGATCATTCTTGGAATGTTGTTTATCATGCAATATCATCTAAACTTAGTACTCCATGGAAAATGTTTATTTTCACTCTGAAAGTTCAGAAAATGAGTGGGCTAGAATTAGAGAAATGCAGTATATCAGTGTTCTGTGGCAAGGGGAAACATGCATTCCTTCCTGGAAGTACTCAGTGCTAAGAACATTCAAAATGCATCCTGGACCAAGTCTTCATAATAGAATTGTAAGATAATTGCAAACATGCCTTTAACACGATACATTTCTTCCCTACTCGAGCCTTCTGGAATGGACCAAAAGCATGTTCTTTTATTGTAGAAGATGTATGTTTATGGTTTAAGAAAAGATAACTGGGGTGGTTTTGTTTTGTTTTTCTTAAATCTGACTGTCTTGTTAAGCAACGCTGTTCAGGAGGCTTTGGATTGATGGAAAGATGGGCAGCTCTTTGGAGATGTCACTTCTGCCTTGGCTATTAGTAATCCCTGAATTTTTTTCACTCATGTTTAAATTTTTTAATGCCACTGAACGATTACAGGTATAAAGAAAGCCTGAACCAYGGTGAATAACACAAGCTAAACTTTTATATTCAGCTTTTATGCAAAATTGTATGTGCACGTGAGTATTTGCTATATTCAGGAGGTTGCAATTGTACACCAAGTTGGTCTTTTTATTTTCTTTAGGTGAAATGGAAACTGAAAGTCAGCCAAAGAGACTTTTTCAAGGAACAACCAACATGCTTTCTCCAGATGTTACACATCTGACAGATCTCAGTTCATGGTAAAATATTTTATGTGCCCTGCAATGCCAAAACAGGAATGTCAATCTGTTAAAAGCATTTTTGCTTTTTCAAAAATAATTTGTGTAGTGTATGTATACATTTTACTAGGAATTAACTGTTATGTTAATGTAGTGTAACAATGTTCAGCTTGTTTTATTAAATTCCTCCTGAGCAGACTCTAACCTAGATTTTGTRTCATAACTTTAGTACTGAATAATTGGCTCATAAACAAAGTTACTTTGCAGAGATGATTCCTCCTCATTTTGGTGCACAATGGGCAGTGGTAATATAATATAGGTGGCACTTGCCTGAATATTTAGAAAATGTGTTGCCTTATGTGTGAGTGGTTGATGCAGTCACATAGTTCTTGATATATTTTATGATTTTTAGTGTTACGTGCTGTCTATTTATTGTAGATTGTAAGAAGCTGACTACTGCTTTGTGTCAAAAGAAATCAGATAAAGTATTCTAAAATATCAACTGTATACCGTAATTTCAGCTAATTTACAGAATTGGAACTTCCGGAAATGTTCCTTTTTTTTTTCTTCTTGCTTCTGGCTAAATTTAATAATATCAGTTGTCATGTCCTCTGTATATATCAAAGCGTCGAGATCAAAACAGATGAATTCTTTATATAAAATGGAAAAACACATTTCCGTATTTTGCTTTTAATGATGTAAAAACAAGCTCACTGATTGACACCTCTGCTGCATTGCTGAGTAGATTTGTTATTTCTTTCCTTTAACCTTCTGTGGTTCTGCTCTAGTGGTATTAGTTATCACCTCTTTTCTATAACTGTTTTASTCTGCATGTTAAGGAAAAAATCATTCAGCTCCTTATTCCCTTAAGGAGCATGAATATATATATAACATGCTAGAAAAAACAAGGAGTCTTCAGGGCCTCCAGTCTTGCAGTGAAGGCTGAGTGGTAGTATATGTCTCCTACATCTCTTCAACAAGGGAGAAGTTCATTAACTTCACTAATTTGGATTCAAAGTTTGTTCGCACCAGTTGTCACCTCTTTTCGATAGCTGGCTGAAGTTGGTCTTAATTTATTCTGCATGTTAAGAGAAAACGTCATTCTGCTCCTCGTTCCCTTAAGGAGCATGAATATCTATATAACATGCTAGAGAAAACAAGGAGTCTTCAGGGCCGCCAGTCTTGCAGAAGAGGCTGAGTGGTAGTATATGTCTCCTACATATCCTTTACACTGCAGAAAATGCCCTGACTTAACTGATTTGTTATATACGAAGTCCTAGTGCTCATGTTATTTAATAACGATTTCTCTCTTTCCCCAGTCTGTCTTCAGATATTCTTGATGGGAGCAGCAGCAGCGTTGGCTCTTCCTCTGACTCCCTGACTAAAGGCAGCATAACCACGGAGTCCCCAGTAACGTGCTCCAACTCCTGCTCTTCGTTCATCTTGATGGATGATCTCTCACCCAAGTGACTTAACCAGCTCTGAGGCGGCGGCTGGCTGTGCTGTTCCTGACTGTGCACTCGTACAGAGAAACGAACTCTGATCCTTGAACCATTAACACGAGGATTAATGCTAAATGGAAAAAAATTATTGTAACTGTAATCCTTGGCAACTTTCCAGTGATTTTGATTTATCCATTTAATGGACATGTTAGACCATATTAATGTCTGATTTTTGCGGATTTATTTTATAGGCAAGATGTCTGCTCAGATTATACTAACTTTTTGCTTTCAAAAACTTGCATACACTTTTGATTCCAAAATAGGTGTCTACCTATTAGTGTTGCAATTTTTAGAAAAGTACTTATCACTATTGTGGTCGCTATGTCTAGGGAAATAACGTGGTTCAGAAGGATTTGAAAATATTAACTTATTCTCTGGCACTTCTACCATTAAGTAAAACTATTTACCTTTTTTTTCCCCTCCCCTCTCCAATAATTACTCACAAATTTTCTCGCAAAAGGGGATTTTTTTTTTTCTTCCTATTGCTACCAGTCACTTCCTTTAATAGAGAAGACCACTACTGGTCTGGAAATCTCATTCTGTTGCATTTTAAAAAAATAGTGACTGGTATTTCTGCCATCGGTTGAAAAAGTAACAGTACTCTATGAACACGATTATGAAATAGCTGCATAGTTCTCTCTCCAGACCCTTCATCCTACAGATTATATGAAATATGGTCAATTTTCAGAAGCCTTTGGCCAAGGAAAGTGAATCCAAGCCTCATTCGAAGACATACAGTGCAAATAATAACTAAGTTATTGAAACTACTGTGTAGGAGAACATGTATGGCACCATCAATGTCTCCTGTGGCATTGAGGTCATAGGTATTTTTGTGCCTTAGGGGACATTGTTACAAAATTATGGAATGTAAACCTGAGGGGTGGGTGGGAAAAGTCCTTAGTGTACAGCTTGTTTATAGGGTGCTTACCAGGTCCTGTTGTCACTGCAGCTTTCCTTAGTCAGCCAGGGGCTGGGGGAGCTCCCGGCCGCGCTGAGAGAGGGCAGCCTATATAATAAAGACCTTTGGACTTTATTATCTGCTGCCCACAGCATTTTATGCCTTTGTCACAAGCAGGGCAAGCGACTGAATGAACATTTGGTTGCTAAAAATGTTGAAGGTTGGACCGCCAACTTGCTCTGCAAATTGCTCAGCTAAGGAGCTGCGTCTGAGCTCTGAGCAGTCTCGATACGGTATCTTGGTCAGTCTAAGGTAAGACAATAGGTATTTTACTTTTTAAAGAGACTTAATGGGGCAAAATAAATCCGTTTGTAATCTACTGTGTTATGCTATTTATTATTTATAACTATGTAAAAAGTCTGTGGTGATGAATTATAGTATTTTTTTATGATTGAATAAGTTTTTTATGTTCAGTAATTGCTGGCTGGTTTGTATTTAATACGCAACATTGTCTGCCAGAATCATAAGCTTCCATTTTTGAATGTTTATAAGTAACATAAATGCTTTTGTTATCTAAAAGTACAACTTCTGATCTTTTTTTGAAAGAAAATAGCACTGAATTTAAAGGAAGATTATGTGCTTTAAAAGTGAGCACAGTCTCTGGCAATACTGTCTGGCTAAAAAGGGTAGGGGTGAACCATAGTTTTTTGCTTTTTTTTCTGAAAAAGCTGTTTAGTTTCCAGAAAACGTGTACATACCATATTATTTTTTAAAGCGTTTCCATTGCATTTGTAAGAAGTACAATAATGGGCCAACAGTGGCACTTTCATTTGTATTACCATTTTCTTCTGCGGAGCATCAGTTCCCCACTTCCAATAAATGTGCATATTGTAAAAATATTGTCCATTGGTGCCATTTTTAAAAGAGCTCTACAATACTGAATGTCAATTTTATTTGTATATGCACAGTGCTATTTCTTGAATTTTCGATGTCTTAAATGGCTTCGKTTTTTTATTCATGCTTGTATTTCCTCTGCCTCCTTGCTGTTAAAAGAAGGCTCTTTTTMCATTTGCAAAGTACTGATAAACGGTCTGTGATAAAATTCGACTTGTTATTTGTGCCCCGGTTTCATTATAGCGTGCGTCTTGGTGCTGTGAGTTAGAAACCTGACCTGGGGGTGGCAGAAGGGGCAAACCTATTGCATGCTTTCCTGAAGAAGAGCATAGTTATTGCTTATTATTTGGCTGACTTACCTGTACAATTGATGTATTCCAGATTTGTTTGTCAGTGGAGAGTCGTATATAAGTGCTGGCCTCTGTAAACATTAGAATGTAAGCTTCATAAAGCAAACGCACAACTATCGCTCTTGTTACAGCATTTTTTTTAACCTTCTGCCTATTCTTCACACTTTAAAATACATTGCTTTTATAAAATATATATATATATGCACTCTGTTTCAGATTAAATGTCATTGTGCAACTGTAATAATCCCGTTTAGGACCAAACTTGCACACAGCTAAGACCACTTGTTCGTGTTAACACTGGACACATGGAATTTTCTAATTTTCTAGCTGGTGCCTGTATCTAACTGCATGTGAGTTGCTGCTGCTTAGAGTCAATCTTTACTGCTGTGTAAAGGTTAGTGCAGGAGACTCTGACTAAAACTGACCGAAAGGCCACGTTTTCTGCATTTATTGGATTTATTGCATTATCTTGGCTGCAGTGAATTTAATTTCAGTTTGGGGCTAGCAGTTGGTGCTGGTAGTCACTTTAATAGGTAACCCCAGACACTTTAAATGCAGCCTCTGGCCGCTTGTTGTTTGTTTTTGAATATCACCAGACTTAGCCCTGAATTGCTATGATGGATGTTTGGGAATTTCACCTTTCCCCCTTTTATTTTCCTTTTGGAAGTTAGCTTCCAAAAGAAAACTGGATGCGTTTTTGCTGGGAATTGCTAAGAAACCCCAGAGATGGCTTATCTTTTAGCACAGTAACTATTAAGAAGGAGAAAACGCTTGCAAATAAGCAGTGTAATTCAAGCGGCATTTTACACAGACTATTTTTAGTATGTTAATGAGCACAGTGTTATGATGTTAGACTTTGCAGGGCTCGTTGAATAGCTCTGCCTTTAGATTATATCGGAAATAAACTCAGCCCTCATTTAGCAAGCTTAAAATGCTGGCAGCATTTTATTGGTAATTTAGGGGGGAAAAAAAAGGCTATATGAGCTGTAGAATTCTGTGTTTTAATTCTTTGTTTTGATAATATCTAATGTTCTGAATCAGGAAACAGATCTCAGTGTGCGTATTTTATTCCAATTCATTGAATTTCAAATTGGGGATCATGGGCCCCCAAAAAGCCTGTATTGAAGAGGCTGTTTTTGACTGTGATTAAATACTTCCTCCTGCGAGGAAAGTAATTAAGCTCTCAGTGGGTGAGGAAGTAAATCAGAGTCCTGCAGACTTTATTTATTAGGAAGCTCAGTTTTGAAATGCACAGGCCAAAAATATAATACATAGAGAACTGGTGAAGGTCTTTTTGTTATCTTGGTAAAAGAGTACTCTTGGGAACTGCTTTTTTTCTAATTGTCCACCTTATCTGTAGACCCTACAAATATATTGTATGATGACAAAGAAGTGAATTTGTGTTTTTTCTGGAGCAATTTCATCTGCGTATAATCTTCCTGCTAACTTCATAATAAAAAAGCTTTGCCTTAATATTGATTCAAATATTTTATGAAGTCATAGGACTTGTTTCATTTGCTTTCTTTGGCGTAAAGACCAAGAAATATTTCTGCAGSTCTACAACCTACCTCTTGTATCCCAAGGCCATTATACAAATGGCAACAGTCCAGAGCAAGTTCACAGAGACTTGCCTCCCATTCAAAGTTCCAGTTTATCTCCAAATTGCTTAAATAATCCTTAGCAAATCTGGTGCTCGGCACAAAGGGGGGCAATGCAGGTACCATACTACCAAGCTGAAAGATGCAGTAAAGAGCTTTGGATACAGCGTGGGATTTTAGCCTTGAGTGTAGACTTCCCCTCTCCAACTAACCTTCCACTCAGCAGTTGATCCTCAGGAGGTTTTGGCCTCTTCAGACTTTTATGGGGAAAAAGCTTTTTGGCAAATCCAGGGCGGCTTGCTCAATCCATCCCCAAAAGGAGGAGCCGTGTTTGCCCCTCGAGAACTGGAGCTGCCTTGGGAGAGGGCAGGGGCTGGGGGCTGCRTCCCCTCAGGGACCCCAGTACCCAACTCTCTGCAGAGACCTTTGTCTCTGGGCTGCAATCAGAAGTGGATGTTGTTTTAGGACAGCGCTGATTCCTTAAGGAGCATGTAGGCCGCAGTGCTGATTTAAGCAAATCCAAGCCTGGATTTGCTTCCTGCTACAAGCGAAGAGTCCTTGTGCGTGAGGATGTTGGTGAGTGGGGCAGCTGGCCTGTCACTACCCTTCCCCTCAATGCAGCTCCTGCCTTTAACTCATGCATATACCTTAAGGCTCTGCTTTTATTAGTGCACTGGGCACTTAACAGAAGGCTCTTGTTTCAATCCAAACCATTCCTTTGTATTAAAGCTGCTTTTTATTGCTTGCTTTTAGATCCTGAAGCCTTTTGATATGGAGCCTCTTGGGCCTCCGGTTTGAGTCTGGACTCTCCTTGATGAGCCTGGGCCAAAGTTCTTTGTTTTTTCCAAACYAGAACAATTTGTTTTGCTCTTAAACTCCAAAAGTTTGTGAATGCAGAGCAGGTACGTTCTTGCATTCGGCAAAGAGGGCATGCTGGTTTTAGTGACCTTCGGAGTGTAAAGTCTTAAAAATAAGAAGCTGAAATCAGAAGAACACCTATTTTTAGCCTACTGATTTAGCTGATTTTATTGCAGGCTCCCCTTTCTTTTAATGTAGGTAATCATTTTCTGAATATATCCTCAGTAACATAGCAACAAAACCTAATAGATCTACCCCCTATTCCCCACTAACACGCAGTTTTCCTTACTGAAGGGTTTATTCCCAAATAAGCACAAGTTTTGCTCATTTCTACCGCTGAGGACAGCGCCTGTTTCAGGTCTCAAAGTGGCTGCAGTAACAGTCCCCGTGGTTCAGCAGAGCCATTAATGACACCAAGTTGTCCCCTTCTGCCCCCAAAGCATCATTTATACTCTAATAATGACACCTTCGGTCTCCYTTAGATTATTCCTGAGGGTCATGAGATTTTATCTTTATAGAAACAGAAAGGATAACTTGCTGTTAATAACTATAAGTACTAGATATGATAAAACTATCAGACTTCATGGGCTCTTACATATCTCCTATTTTGAGGATATAACAGAATTTGGGGCTTTTTGATTATTTTTCAGACGATGCCCTGTCATTCTTCTGGAAGAATTACCATTGTGTTTGAATTCGGCAAGGCATTTGCATGTAGTTTATGCAGAACTCYGATTATAAAGTAACTCAGATTTAGCAGCATGAGTCAAGCGCAGCTCAGGGCCGATGACAGGCGCTTGTTTTCCCAGCAGCTGACGGGGTTAACTCCCGTGTCGCCTGCATTTGCGCTGCTGCAGCCTCCACCACGCGTGGAGTTTTCCCCCGAGTTTCCCCCGAGTTAAAAGAGCTGGCCCCAGCGCCGGGCTATTATTTATATTGGGGCAGTTTATAGCTGAGATTACGAAAACCCTATTGTGCTCAAACAAAAAGATTTGCCTTGCCCCAACTAGTTTGCAAGTTAAATTCGTTACAAGGACTACAATGTTTTATCAATACAATCTTACAAAGAAAAAAAAAAAAAGGCAAAATTGATGCTTTTTATACATAGAAAGAAGTGCAAATATATGGGTAGGAAAGAGTGGTATCCCAAACTGGGGACCAATGTAGAATGAAGAATGTAACCAAAATCAGCTACTTTGGAATCCAAATCCCAATGTTTTATCTGGCTTTTGACACATCAGGCCCTTTGCGCTGTAAGTTCCTAACATTTTGGGAAAAATCAGCTACAGCCACGAGCCCCTCAGCTTTCATTCAACACAGATACTTCTGCTTAARTTCAGAACCTCCAAGAATTGGGAAGAAAAATAGATATGAAAGGGAAAACTAGAATAAAAATGCCTCTGTGCCTATGATCGATGAGCATAGGTTTGAGAAATGACACAAAGAGCAAAATACAGTGAGCTCAGGCCAATGTGCTTTAAATAAGAGCTGAGGATGTGCTAGGCAGGGTACGTGAAGCATCTTGTTCGTGCGCAAGAACGGGCTGTGAAAGCAGCAGCTTTAAGGGGATCAAAGAGCTCGGAAGAGCTGCTGCCGGGCACTGTTTTTGCTGCGCTGGAGCCCAAAGGGAAGCGGGAGGGAGACGGCCCAGCAGGATGGGASCTGGGACACGGCTCCGTGTGGAGGAAAGGATGGGTTTCCTGCGGAGCATCCCGGCCAGCYCGCAGCCAGTGAGGGGCTCGTGCTCAGGAAGAGGAGCTGAGCTCGGGCTCTGCAGACACAGCCGGCCGTGCATCCTCACAAGTTGCAAATCAGGTATTTTGGGGGGACGTAAGTGCAGGTTTTTAGCCTTTCTCTGTACTGGCAATGAGGAATTTGGTGCATATGGTACTTGCCCCATAAGCATCATAYGCACTGTGCTTAGTCCAGCAGCGCTCAGGGATTCGGAGCACAGGAATGAGAGGTTACCGCTGGAGGGGATGGCCGCAGGATGGCGTGGCAGGGCTTGCAAAGCGCGGAGCAGCATCTACCGAGAGGGGCTAAACACCAGCTGAAGYGCGCCTGAACTGCGACCATCCTGCAACTTCTATTGCCAAAGGTTTCTAACGTTTTCTTTCTTCTTGCTCTTCCTCTCGGAGTCCCTGATGCCTTTCCAGAGTCGATCTTGGAGTTCATCATATCGGTAATGCTAAAACTGCTCGAAATAAGGCAGGGGGAAGCGTGAGTGAGGCTGGCTGGCACCAGCACCGTCGATGGGCTGAGCACCATGAGCTGCTTGGAGCAGGCGCTGGGACGGGCACAGGGCCCGGCCTGTGTTCCGCCTTGCACCGGGGCCGTTCTGCTCTTTCATAGCTCACCTTCTCCTTCGCACGTGCTGCGGGACGCGGGGATTTTTGCAGACAACCTGCAGTGATTCCTGCAGCCGACAGGAGCCCAGCTCCTCATCTGCAGCTGAACGGAGCTGCGTGTCTGCGCTGCAGAGCTCCACGGTTGAACCTGCTCTTAGGCTTAGTCCTTCTGTGATGTTTTTCACATTTGAAATGATTATCATCACAATAATTACAAAAACCCTTGAATTTATTTATTTTAGTAAGAGCAAGCAGGTGAACCCAGGATTTCTAACTTGCAGTTTGGTTCTGCGATCACTGGATAACTCTGTTACACCTTTGTAAAACACTGAATCCCACCCCGGAATTACTCCAGGGCTCCAAGAGCAACATTTTTTCTTCAGCTGCCTCCATGGGGCAGCCCCTGCAAGTGGGCTGAAGACCCTGGCTCGTCAGCACGTGCAGGAAAGAGCAGGTCAGAGCCAGGAGTAACTTGTTCCCTCGTATCTGTGCAAAGCTCTCCCTAGAAAATGGCATTGGTATAGAATGCACACGCTTTACTTTGCCTCAGTCTGTTCTCATTAAATGAAATCCTCGTGACTTTATATCTCTGCTTGGCAGTTGCTAATTTCCTTCAGACCCGTCTGAAGTCTCAAGCGTAGCAGCCTAGAGCTGCGGGATTAATGTGACCGTTTTGTTCAAAAATCATTATCGTGCAGCAGCCAAAGTTGGGGTATCCATTGCTTCTGCGGAATGACTGCAGGATTTTGCTTATGGAAAAGCCTATGGAAGCTCACCTTGGTGCGCTTTCCAAAGGCATAACTGACAGCACAGGCAGACTTACATTTGAAGTGTGTATTTTGTCATGGTGCCATACGCTTTCTTTTACTTCTCCTTTAGTATTGGAATTGGAAATTCAAGTTGGAAATGTGAAAGCAATTGGGCCKAATCCATTCCTGTTGTTACTCCTTTTGTTTTCACTGGCGGGACTCCAAGGCTGAGTTTGGGGTATGATGAACAACTGGTGCTCCAAAGCTGGAACTTAGGGGAGAAGGTTTTAGAGATGATCACGCAACTCTCCTTCCCAGACAAGTGACCCTCCCACAAGAAGGACACTGTATGGTGAGTTTGGGTTATTAAGTTTAGTGCAACATTCTACTAATGAGCCCTCTAGTCATAATAACACATTATTATCCATTAGAACAATTACTTGAAT